TAGGACAGTTCTTAATACGTGTCGTGTCAGCCCTACGACATTCGCGAATATCCACTTCCAGAAAACATCCTGTGTTGGTTTAACATGAATTAGTAAAGGTTAATAAGGGATGCCCAACACGTTAATTAATGAAAGAAGAGTAGTGAAAACACTGTCGTTTCCTGCCCTGGACATCACACCCCGGTGTCCTCCCCATTGGCCTACTTCCCATTTGTCCTACGCTTTTAGGGGATTTAATTACGGTAAGTAATCGCTTGGTTGATCACTCACTAACTACCCGTCTCCCCCAGGGTGATTAAAATGAACCAGTCCAACAACAGAGAAATACAAGCTAACAGAATCTTTTTAATGTAATTTAATCAGGATTCCTACTGCATCTGCTGATGCCAAGGAAGATATTTCTCCCTGCTGGTGTCTGTCTCGGAGTCTGGACAGCTGACCATCGAGGTACACAATGCTGGTGTTGTTTTTCTGCGTTGTCTGTACAATCCACTCTTCATACCAACAAAGGGAGGACATTGTGCAGCTTCTAAGAAAGTTGCAGTTGACCCCTTTCTGTTAATTCTATATTTAAAATTGTCAATCAAAACTTGACGACCACCTCTCTGACTGAACATACTCAACCCTCTGAATACCTGCCATTATAAAGAATGATGCACTGATAACCGTTAGTACCTTTATACTATGAATACTAAGAACAATGTTTTGTCATTAAATTAACTTCGTTATCATTATCCGTATACAATGGTATATGATCAAAGAAATAAAACCTATAATAGTTGATCCTATTGACTAAATACACAATAGGCAAAGAAGCCAGTTATATACAGTCCTTATCTTATGGTGTTTAGCTACCTGCTCCTTTAGCCCCTTTATCTCCGCCTGAAGTGAATTTACTATTTCACTCAGTTCTTTTACTGTATATTTAACACTACCTCCTGGGGTTTCAGGACCTGGGTTCGTCTCAACGTCCCCACACACAGTCACAGTCAACATCGCTATCACGAAAAGCGTGGCCACTGACAACGACACACACAATGTGTTAATTCTGAATTTTACGCTTGGTTTTCGTCTCGAAAAAGTTCCTATCTTTACTCTCCAGGTATTGATATCTACCCCCATACCTTTCTGAGTGCTTTGCTTTGCTTTCTTGCTTTGTGTACTTTTAAAAAAAAAATCAACTCTGCTTGTTTACTTCGTGTCAATAGCAAAGGGACGTCCTTATGATGACAATCCTTATGAACATAAGAAAAGGATTAATTAATTGTGAGATAGTTACATTAATCAACTTCACAGAAGAAGCCTGTGTGAAATAACAAGAGCTAATTAAGCTCAAACCAAACCGTTTTTCAATAGGGGTGTAGGTTGTTTAAAATAATCTGTGGTAGGCCAAATGGGAAAGGTCATTTCTGTTTCTTTAGGCCATATGGGACGTAGGCCAAAAGGGACGTAAGCCAATAGGGGATGCACCCACACCCCTACACGCTAAGGTCGGTGAGAAACTTTCCCATCAAAGAAAACACACAGTCAAGACATTGACTTTTCTACGAGGACTCACGGTATGTAGTCATAATTATCAGTTTATTACATTGTTGAAGATGCATTTTGATTCAAACTCAATTAAATGAGCAAAACTATACGTTTGTGGACATTTGCGATCTGCCCAGATATGCACGTTTCGTTTTATTATTTTGCAATCCATTTTTAGTATTACCCGCTGGCCCGGCCCGACTTTTCTTGGCCCGACTTTTAGGCAATCCCCCAAAGTGGTAAACGTCCGAGGACTGATCACTTCGGGCTTTCCTCTCACATTTGACACTTTCGTGTAGAGTTATGGCATCAAACATGGAATGTCCTTCAAAGTGCTTCATTTGATAGAGACAATAATAATTAAATGTTTCATTCAATAGGATCTTGACATTAATCTAGCTTATTTTGGACAGTTCTACACCATAAACACCAAAGAATCCTTCACTTCCCTCTGATAAATCCTATTTCGGTTGCAAACTCATCCCAATTTTAAGAGAACCACAAAATGGCGGCAGATTTGACTTTTTGAAAAGTACGCGAAAACACAAATTTCCACGGAAGAATATATGGTAAATCGCATGAAACAACATTGCGTGCAGTTGTCTGAAGATTGCCCTCCATCTAACATGTCTAACCTTAAAAATACCAGCGATGGATCTATTATAAGCATCACTGATTTTATAACATGGTCGATATTCGATGGAGGGTCTAATTTTCGCGCACTGTCAACACAAAGCTCTGAGCACGAGTCCATGTTTATTTTAGTGTTACATTATACTGTATGTCAAGGCACGCAATGCTCAATGTTGGAGATTATTTGGTCAGAACAAATATCATTTTCAGAAGGAATGGGTTTTCTTATGTTGCGTACGAAATGATGCATTCTTCATAGTAAAGTTTAAAAGATATTTAGAAATGACAGACAGCCCTTCTACTGCAGTACTTTATCGACCATTTATCACCATTTTGTCTATTCCTGAAATATTCAGTGTTATATATAATGTTAAAAGCGGCGTCAAACCCAACTCACTCACTCACTAATCAGCAACGGAGAAGGGTATGGTTATATGACTATGGCGTTATCACCATTTCAAAATCACAAAGAAGTCTCTTCATATCATCTTATGTCTTTACTGGAATGTTTAACCTCCTTTAAATGAGATAAAGGATACAACATTGTACACGTAGGTAACTTACATAGGTTTTTAGTATCAATTTGCAATTTTTGATTAGAAGTTCCAAATATTAAACTGTTAGCGGTCAATTTCAATTTCTTTATTCAGTATAAAGGCCACAGGCCCATGTACAAATAAATATTGACATATAGGATATACATATTGGTGCAACATTAAACAAGTATTACAAATGGGATGATTGAATACAATAGCCTCTTTAATACATTTACAGCATTGAAGTAAATCAGTGAGTTTGCCTGAGCCTATATGCTTAAATAACTGAGATTTACAATATATATTTGGAATGTGTTTCTGTCTGATATCATCATATAATGGGCATGATAGCATAAAATGTAATTGAGTTTCAATGATGTTCTTACAAAAAGGACAAAATCGAAATTAAAATCAATATTACTTTTTCTTCCAATATTCACCATGATATTTAATTCTCCAATTCTTAATAGTGATAACATTCTTCTTAGTTCTTTACAAGTGATTTTTAAAATATACGGTTCAATAACAAATGCTGTTTTGAGTGAAGGAATAAAATTCTAGATGTTTATAATCATTAACTTGTGAATGCCATGTTTGTATATAACAATCTTTAACTCTTTGTGAAAACTCACATATAAATAAATCAGTGTGACCAACAGATTGATTTTCCCATACAAAACCAAAACGATATAAATACAAAATATTCTTAATGTTAGTAGCCCATGTAACTCGTCCTACTTGATCTAATCTATATATCATGTTATAACATTGTCTAGGATATCTTTCATTTGACATATGGTTAGTTTACACCAATATTTCAAACAATGTACATAAGTCTCACAATACAATTTATAGTGTCCACATTCACACAAAATAGCAACATTTGTACAAGATTTCCCGACACCAAGTAAATATTTACAAAATTTAGTTTGTATGGCTTCTAAAATATTCCAATTATGGGTTCCCCAGTTTACTGAACAGTAAATTAATATTGGTTTTATTTGCGTATCAAACATTTGAAACAATATTGGTAAAGGAAGGGAGGTGAGGTTTAATGTGTAATTGCTTAATGGGAATAAGAGCTTTATTAGCTTTCTAGACTAATGTTTGCACACATTTTGACCATGATAATCGGTTTGAAAATACAACACGTAAATAACTATAATATGTTCCTATCTTTATATGTACATAATCCTAAAACCAATTTTCAACATTTTAAAGTTTTTCACCATTTCGGAAAACTAATATTTCAGTTTTATCAAAGTTTCATACCCCATTTTTTACAAAAAGAAGATAAAACATTAATTTTTCTTTGCAAACCAATAACCGAGTCATCAAATATACATAGATCATCAGCATACAACAATTAAAACAGAGCATTGAAATCTTCTCCGATAAATATACCTCTACCACCATACGTCTGTAATGAGTCTTCCAATTGATTGATAAACATAGAAAATAAAAGAGGACTCAAAACGCAACCTTGTCTAACTCCACTAAGTTAAAAACCCGCCTGACACTCTGGTAATTTGTCATAAAAACATACAAGATCGTTAAGTCTTTTGTTAAGCATAAAAGTAAATATTTTCCCACATATGTCCATCAAAGAAATGCCTCTTTAATTATAAACATCACTTGTACTTCCTTTCTTATGTAAAGGAAATATAATACTCTTTGACCACTGTGGAGGGATATGTCCCTTTCGTAAATATGAAATTGAAAAAAATCTTAAGGTAAGGTAACAAAATACTCCTATCGCATTTGTAGACCTCAGGGAGAATGCCGTCAGGGCCAGGTGCTTTATTATTTTTTAAAGATGAAATAGCAAAGACGATCTCCTCTTCAGTTATGGGCTGGTTTATCATGTCATTTATACCCTCATCAATCTCCAAATTATCTATATCATCAATATAACTACTGACAAAAGACATGAATTCTGTATCTGTAACATTGTCATGAATATTGAGCACCTGAGTAAAGTATTCAATCCATGCTTTACTTCTTATATCGCGACCGCCTCCGTGGTCTTGTGGTAGAGCGTCCGCCCGGAGAGCGGAAGGTCCAGGGTTCGATCCCGGGCCGCGTCATACAAAAAGACGTTAAAAGATTGTACTTGTTGTTACCCTGTCTGGCGCTCGGCATTAAGGGGCTAAAACAAGGACTGGTCGGCTCGGAGTCAGTATACTGTGTCTGAGTGGGGTATTCATGTTAAACTGCGGCATGGTATCTCAGTGAGCTAGCACTATAAATCGGCATCAGTCCGGACTAGTACAAGCAGCCACACACACACATACACGTGCATGCACGTCGCTATATAAGTGCAATAATCTTGGACGCGACGTTAAACCCAATTTCACCTCACCTCTTATATCGCCTTGGCGTTTATTACTGGGATTTCTAAGAATGGACTTTACATAAGACCAAAAGGCTTTGGGATTTTGCTTACTAGAGTTGACAATATCTACAGCAAGTGTATTTACATAGACGGATGATTTAGAACGACAAACCTCTCTATACTCATTTCTTGTACCTCTAAAACTATGCAAAAAATGAAGATTTCCTGACAATCTAAACTTATCAAGGTACATATACTTCTCAGTTTTTAATGAGTGACATTAGCGGTGTTTCGTAGCAAATGCCTTTGTCAAACCATGCTGTTATGTCATCATAGTGTTTCCTGTATTTGTCAACATGCCACAGTCTTCTGCATGCTTCACACATCGCCTGGGCCTCTAGTCTATACGACCACCGAAAATTGACATTATTTTTCTTATGTAAGTATTCTTCATATACAGGTTTGTATTTATCCTTTCTCTTCAAATATGCCGTGTATTTGGTTTCATTGTTGGCAAGTTGTTTGATAAAAACGGCTAATTGTTCAGCAGATTTAAAATCCATTGCATTTATGTAAGTATTGTTTTCAGCATGTTTAGTATAATCAGCACCCCCACGAGTTATCAAAATGAAGTTGAGTCCGTAATATAGAAAGAATTTTTCTGTTACATAATCTTGACAAAATGCATTTTCAAAAGACAGATAAAATTTATACTTTGAGCTTAACATCTCTAAACATGCCGGGCCATCACTCCTTGGGCATGTATGGTTTCCACAAGCACCATATACGTCGACTTGGACGTACTTCTTCAGCTCCTTAACATAGTCCATTCTTTTGCTTTTTGTTCTACAATGACTTACCATCCATGCAATTGTGCCCTTTTTTTGTTTGAAAATCGCAGAATAATCTTTATCTATGGTGTGATTTCTAGCTTGTAAAACACCATAAGGAGCAGGAATATCACTATCGTTTCTGTAATCAATTGTCCAGTTAAACACATTCTTCCAACTCTGTAGCCAAATACTTCTTTTTCCAACCCAACCCATCCGTGGTGATTCGTGGTTATGTAGAATCCAAACTTGGTCTTTGTACCGCTGTGGTGGAGTTTTCAACTTCAGGAAAATCGCAGCAAACATCACGGCACTGCTTCTTTGTAAATACGCCTGATTTGTAGTCATGCGACAGTTCACTTCCGGGCAACCACGAAGCGTAGATAACTCGTCCATGACCGGTTGATACATTGTCTTGGCATACAACAAAATTATCTTTGGGTTCTCAAGGACATTGTCTCGGGGATGTGACCTCGATGAGTAGTTAAGTGCACGTGCAGGAAGAACTATGTTCTTTGTCTCAGATTTCGACGTCATCAGCTCCCTTGAAAGGGCGAAAAGTCCCACCATGATCGTACATGTGAGCACTAATCCGTAGAAGCAATGGCGAATCTGTAAATTGATAAGTTTATTTGTTATGTATTGGTCTGAACACAATTTCACTAAATAGACTAAGAGACGCTTTGAGGTCCCAACCAATGACATCGTCATGTAGCTGTGCGCAGAAAGGGGGTGTGGGGTGTAATTTGTGAGCAGTTAGATACAAATAATTGCAAGCAACGGTTTATTGCTGACCTTGGAACATATAACTACTTCCGGTAAGGGACATTGGGGTACCCTGGTGATTATTGCGTTCGGTTGTCATATCGATGGACGGGTTTGACTCCCCACAGGGGTACAACGTGTGAAGCGGAGTAAAACCATACTCACTCACTCAGTTGTTCAAGGTAATAGCAGAGTACATTTCTCTTTCTACCTGATCATGTCAATAGTGGCCCCTTAAAGAATCCAAAGTAACGGAAAAAAGTGATAGTGAACTAATTGAATTTATAAAATACAATTGAATTATATGAAATCGGAATGGCAGTGAATATAATCTGTCAACGCACAGAATAGCCAGCGAAAAAGATTCTATTGGGCCTAAAAGGCAAATTAGCGGTGAAAATTATATGAATGGATCACTGAAAATCAGTGATGACCCCAGGTGTTCGCGAAAAGGGTAAGCATGTCCTTCCCCTCCGGTAGCACATGCCACTCACACTCACACAATTTCCATGAAAGGGCATGAAAAAAATAAAATCTCAATTGTCTGTCGAAACAGATTCCACTGGTGTTAAAAGGCAAAATAGTGGAGAAGATTATATGAATGGATAAGTGAAACACCCGGTGCTCACGAAAAGGGTAAACATCAACGACAGGCGTGCTCCGAGCTACCACCTTAAACAGACAGTCAATGCAGGCAACAACCCATTTCCTGCATTCGCTCACTTCATTCGACAAGCAGAAACATACCTTGCACCTTTTCAGTGTGAAAGTACACGCCCCTCGGATCCAAGACCTTATACTTGTCCAGTGTAGCATCGTCATCGTTCTTTCACGAGAACTAGAAATATGCAGGAATTGCATTCATAATTCTCTTTTCACAATAAGGATTTTTTCCCATTAAACTTTAACTGAAATAAGAACCGAGATAGTACTGAATACCCCGCGATAGTAACCAGACTGTTAACTCGATTCGTTTGCATACACGCATGTGTTTACTTTCCTGTATTGGAGAAAATTAAAAGGAGCAACCAACCTCGTCGGCGACCTTTGTGCGACTGTTTTGAACATGTTTAAAAATTGCCGGCGACCATGGCGTTCATGGCGATGCCTGAACCTCCTGTGTACTACATTGGAACGACCTAGGCAACCATTCTGCCTCCTTTGAGCCTCCAACAACAACCTTGCAAATTTTATGGTCGCACACGGGAGACACAAACGTCGCCATCCTGTGTAAAGGCCCCATTATTAGTTTATGGCCTGCGTTTTGATGTGAGTTATGTAAATATCTACCACATATATACGTAGCGGATTCTTACAAAAGTTTGCAGATCGGTTTTTCGATTCATAACTCAATGACCAGGAAAATAATACACAGTCAATGCCTATAATTAAATTCGACAACGTAAAACATGTTTCAGCTACAATAGTTAAACCAAAAACTGTTGTATGTATCAAAACAGGCAAAAATGACGAGATTGATAAACATTCCAGGTGTAGGAATACAAACTGTGGCGTGACATGAATCAGGTGATCGTTTAATAAATGCACATAACTTGACACGCCTACACAGTCAGTAGCCAATTAACGGAGAGTAGGATCAAAACAATGTTCATTGGACCTGCCAATTAAGGCAAGAGGCGAAAAGAACTGCAACAGTCAGACTATAACAAACCGGAAGAAATATGTCCGGGAGAAGTCGGCTGTTTCAAATTACATGGTCAGTTATCGCCAGATTCAAACATTACTTCCCTGATTACGGTAAAACAAAGTTGGAAAAATGCTAGTTAGAAATGAAACCCGAAGACATGAAAGTTGAACCCACTCGCGAGCGGGAAAAAACAGGCGAGCGAGCCTGCACGTTTGCAGTTTCATTCATTCTCGGCCTTCGGTTTCAAATGGTAGTTTGGACAATGAATATGCATCAAAGTCGCTAAATGTCCTGTGCATGACGATACACATAAGCAGAAGGGGAATTCCCTCGACTGTAATATTAGGGTTCCCCGACATTCCGCAGTAATACAAGTAGTGCGCCTCGATGGATTCATACAGTTTGCACATGGGTTTATCGATTCATTATAACAGGTGACCAATTCAGCTAATCAGAATACAGGAATTTCAATGAACACAACAAAAATTTAATTATCTAGTTTTGAATAGTATTTATTTAGGAGATAAACATACTGTTACCTGTAGATTTCGCGCTTTGCGGATTTGTCAAACTTACTTCCGGGGTCAAATGATGCTCGAGAAGCGACGTGTGATTAGATGAATACCCTTACCCAAACCCACAAGGAAAATGTTTGAGGCTGATCGAGGTGTGCGGTAGGCCTCAACATCAGTAAAATGTCGCCACCATCTTCCAAAGCTCTCTGTTGTCCCCAAAACAAACATGACATTATCTTTGTAGATTTCTATCGTGTTTTCTGCACGAAATGTTATGCCACACAGCCTTTGAATATTGTAGTAACCGCATCTGTGCATTTTGTAACCTGTAATTGTAGATAAAATTATGTAAATATTCCTTACGACAATGACAGAAAAAAGGACTATTCTATGAATATTAGCTTCCGCTGTGACGCGGCCGTCAAATCGGCTGTTTTAATCAGAGGGTGTTTATTGTGATTTGACAAGTTTTGATTGACCAATCAGAATCGATTCATATGCATAAAAAGAGATCAGCAAGGAGGGAGTATAGGTGGTGGTACACATTGGGTTGCCTACTTCAGTGTCTAAAGGTCCTCTATCCAAATTTAAGTTTGTCGTAAGAAATAGTAGTGTAGAAAGTTCAAAAATCAAATGTTTTGACACAATTCAAACGAGAAGTCAAGTAAATCCTTGGATTGTTGAGAATCCAGACGGGTATTTAATTCTGTGAATATAATGAAATTGCCTTCCTTGATCGGACTCAGGATTATGGTTCATCTTTCAGATAAGGATTTGGTGGTACAACGCACTATCAAAAAACCATAACGACGTTTTGAACAGCATTTTTGTCACATCACGGCATTTCAGACAGCTCGGTGTGGGAGGAGAGCCCCAAGAGATGCAGGTCGTATTAGTTCTGTGAATATAATGAAAATGACACCCCTCAGAGATGCAGGTCTTAAACGTTTAACACACGTGGCAAGTCAATCGTAAACCAGAGAAAAATACGGGAACATATGGTACAAGTGAAACAAAAAGAATTACATCATTTTTGTGATTGATGCGTCAAATTTGAAAATGTCCTCCGAATGTCTATACGACCCGTGAAGACAAAGGTTAGAATAGGTCTTGAGCAAACTAAGCTTAAGCTAAATATCGACTGTGTGATCCATGTCATTCCCATTAGCGGGTCCCATTTGTGTAGATTGGTGCTCATGATCCAGACTCGATTATTTACAGACCGACGTCATATAGCTGAGTGTGGCGTTAAACAACAAACAAATAAACATGTCTATACCGAAACACGGCTTTAAACTTTTGTAAGGCTTTGAATGTTGTGATATAGTCCCATTGCTGACGTACTGCAGTCCCATTGGTGTGGCAATACAATACACATTAGTGTGAAAATTCGTGTATTTTCCTCACACTCCCTTTGGAAAAACAAACTTCTTAAACACGTTTCGTGCAGTCATTAAGCATATCCATTCAACGCTCTCTCTAAATTCAAAGCGATCCTACCTGTGTTTGGTGTCTTCTCATTTCCTGGTAAACGCAGTTCTTAAGTTAATCCAGTTACCTTACACTGAGCCACGTCTACAGTGCCCGACTGTCAGTGAGTCGTCAGTGCTCTGCAATCCTCCTGTCAATCTACCTGCTGGTGCCAGTGCCGTGTGTTTACATTGCCAACAAGCAACAGGTGATTTATCCCTGCATGTGAACACATGGGGAGTTGATTTATGTTATGACTCATAACCCGTCAGAGATACGTAAATCGTAAAAAGATCGGGCGTGATTTTGCAAACACTGATAATTTATGTATGAGCTTCTGTGATAACAGAACCCGCCTGCCATTGTTCGCATAATGTGGAAACAATTAAAGTATTAAAATATTCATCAAGCTTAATATGAAATTAATGTGGTACTAGTAACCATTCCGCCAAGCCAAATGGGACGTTTTTTTCAAATTTGCGACTAATAATGAAAATATACAAGACAAATATTCGTACGCAGTGAACATTCCGAAAGGTTTCCGGGATTCAATCCCATTCAACAACGTATTTAGTCAATCACATTGAAGCACATACAGGCATTATTTATACACTGGTTATACTCTAACAAACGCTTCTGACTTTTTATATGGCAGACAAGGATGCGTTCATGGGAAGTTGAAGGTAGTTTGCATAAATTATTGAACAGTTTATAATGAAAGACCCAGTTGATGGTGACAATGCGTTTTTTTATGATAACCTATGGCCATATAATATATACATGTAGTTATGTGACGTACTTTATCATAACTCAAGGTCATATAACATATAGATATGTGATGTATTTTGCCATAACTCAAGGTCATATTATATATAGTTATGTGACGTATTTTACGATAACACATGGTCATATTATATCTAGATATGTGACATATTTTACTATAAGGTAATTCAACATAAAGATATGGTGTATGGTTCACATTGACAAGCACGGTCAGTTTCTACATGACGGAAAAGTCATTGTCCCAACAACTGGGAAGTCGATCTTAAGAGAAACTTTGTGTTCTTGTAATGCTAGTAGAGAAGGGCAGTGGCAACTGAATCCAGGTCATTTTGGGGGGACACATACAGTTTGGTGATGTATTTTGCGTGATGCCGCAACAACTGGATGGTGGTGCAGCAACAACTGGA